GGAGGGTGTCAAAATTCTTTGTTATATTGTTGATACTCTCTATATCATTACCGCCTGTTATATCATTATCGATCTCCAAAACATTGAAGAGTACGTTCAAAAAATAATTGAAAGTATTATTGGAAAATAACATAAAATATTTTTTGAAAATAGTTGTAAATGATTTGGTTTATGAGGATAAAATATAGAAAATTTAATATTAGGTTTAAAAAAATTAAGATTGAAAAATAATGACATAAAACAAATAATTTTAAATTTTACGATATAATCAAATGACATGTTTTTTTGTTGTTGATAAACATAATAAAATTGTGAACCACCGGAGAAAGATACCCGTAGCTAGGGGTGGAAATCGGTAAGTTATCGATATCCTAATACCAAATACCAAAATCACGAATACTGAATTACACCCTAAAATCAATATCTCAATCTCAATCCCTAAATAATTTTGGTATCCCAATCCCAACCCCTAAATATTTTGATATACCACTCAGTACTTCGGTATCCCAATCAGTATTATCGAATATGAAATTAATTACCTTTGTAATTAATAATTAAATATATAAATTAGATTTGATTGTTTAATTTAGGGCAAATAGACTAAGCAAAGAGTCTTGAGTTTGCCTAGAGCTAGGATATGGATAAGGAGAATGGAGAAGATGTGACATCTTAAAATTTTGTCATTGGTAATATTTAATTTGACGAACTGGAGGCTAAGAGACGACTAATACTAGTGTTTGCTCTTTGGTGTTATGAAAATAACAAGAGATTAGGTGAGAGACGAGAGTGACTTAAACTGGAAAGTCAAAATTGAGTTGGATGGGGGCTTCTAAGTTGTGAAAGAGTGAGAAATTACCAAAAGTTGTGCGCTATATTTCATTAATTTTTATTTTTTCGGTATTTCTCGGTATTTCGGTATATACCGATCTCAATCCCGTAATCCTGCATACCTAATAACATTCCAAAATGAATCTCAATCTCAATCTCTAAAAAATAAATCGTTATATAATAATACCAAATAATAATAAATTCAGTACGTTATTTAGTGTATCCCAAATACTGGCATCAAACTTCCAGTCCTGCCCGTTAGGGGTGTTCAAATGGTTACCATGGTTATTACCAGGCCAAATAAGGGTAAATTTCATTAACCATGGAATACAATATCATAACCAAATCATCCAAACTAATACAACAACCAAATTAACCAAACTAAAGTTTAATCAGTTTGGTTAATTGGTTAACCAGATTAACCAATATAAAATCATATATCATTAAGTGAGAATTTTTTTGGTTAATTTATCAATTCAAAATTTATATAATGAATAAAACATAACAATCAACACGTAGTTACAGTTGACCCTTAAAATAAATACATGCAACTAAGAGAATTATCTTACGGTTAGTATAGAAGTATTCACCTAACAAAAAATTATCACAATGGTATGGGTTAATGAATTGTTGTGTTTGTTTGAATTGACTTAGTCTTTTAGCAATTTTCATAGGGTGAAAAGGACATTGCTTTCAAGTTTTCATCCAACATAATGTGTTAGATTTATCTAAATTAGGCGTTCATATGTTGTGGTCTACACTCTACATATACAAATATACATTATAGGAACAATATCAAGCTTTATATTTTATGAGTCTAAAAGGATGAACGTTTAACTCTTAAGTGGTTATTCAAAGTATTCAGTATGTGTATATATTAGATATATGGCTAATTATTTATTTGTTTAATTTGGTTTGGCTGGTTAGGAGTGACTGAAATCAAACCAAACCACCTAAACCAAACAAGCTAAAAACTTTAACCAAACCAAACCAATTATCCAAATTAACCAAACCAAAATATCCAAATAGTACGAATTAAAACAATTATCATTGTAACCACACCGTTTAAACACCCTACTACCCGTAGCTACCTTACATCTCAGCCATGACGTTCTCGCGAACAAGGGTTGACCGAACCGGCAAATGGTGATGTACGGATTTCGTTTTCGTTGAATTACATCATCACATCTTTGTTTATTCTGTGAGTAGTTGGAGGAGGACGATCTTTATACATGTTTACTGTAAGAATATAATTACGCCGTAATTAAGTTAACTTTGTGCTTACTGCCGACTTCCGGGTATTAAACTATTGATTGATCACAGTAAACAAAACAAAAAAAACTATTGATGGATCCATTGATATTTCCGTACTCTTTACTCGGCCAGCTCTTCCTCTCCCTACTAGTTAATTATGGAAATTATTTTTTAGTATAATTGATGCAGAGATTAAAGGATATGTTGAGAAGTTTGCTACTTAATGATGATCAGTTATCTATCTATCTATGCTAAGGTGGACAATTTTTTTACAAATTTTTTTTTATTTATTGATCTATTTATGGAGCTATCTCTCTCTTCTTTTAATACTTCTACTCATTTTCACTAAAACTTAAAATAAGTTACATTTTTTTTGAAACATTTAAACAAACAAACAGACATAAGTAATAATCTTTTCTTCAATTAACAAACTATAAAAATGAAAATAGAGAGTGACATATATCTTGTTTGTTTAACCCAAAAATATCTTATTAAATCTCATTAAGTAAATTTTCTATTCATTTTTTCTAAAACTTTATAATAAGTTACATTTTGATGGGGAAAAAACAATCACGCATCTGAATAATGATAATTTTTCAGTTAAACAAAATTTAAACGATGGCCTAAGTGAAAATAAGCGTTTGACAAATAATCGATTTTGAAAAATGAACTACATCATATACTTATAAAATAAAACAAGTATAATTTATATAGAAAAAGGTCTGGAGATAAACTTGACAGAGCAATAATTTTTATTTTTTTAAAACACTTATTATTCATTCGGATTAAATGAAAACATATTAATTATGAACGCAACCTTTTAATTTATCTCTAACCTTTTCCCATTTTGATTGTCTCTCTAGAAATAAAATACAACATCGAAAATGGTAATGTATATGGAGTTTTTTTTAGGAGAATAGGAGGAGGGAGGTATACGAGGCAACGATTAGATGGCAAAATTTTGAGCATTTGTAACATATTTATGCCTGTTAATGAAAGCAGTTCATCTTATCATTGCGAAGACGAGGTGAACCAAACCGAGGATTGTCGACTGCTCCCTCTTCCCCCTTGATCTTAAGCTGACAACTGCTCACCCTTCTTCCATTATTTTCTTAATTTCTTCCAAATTAAAATTGTTGGATGGTAAATTTCCCCAATCGATGAGCACATGTATTTCTTCTTCGTTTTCACGGAGTTGTTTTATGTTCTCTATTACGTAATATACTTTTATGTAAATAGGTAATATATAATTAGAAGGGATAATTGGTTGGACTTGGGGCATATCTCCTTTGGTTGAATAATTGATCGTTTTCCTTAAATGCCTATTGCAACCTGATTCCTTAGATGTTGAAATGAAAAGTAGAGTTGTGAGGGTTGTTCATTATATTCCTTATGTTCATGATTGACATGCTACTAGCTAGCTATAAGATGATGATCTGGTTAGTAATTAGTTTATAGCAAAGGGATTATTAGTAAAAGGGAACATAATTGGGGTTTTAAAAAAGTCGTGAAGAAGAAAGAAAATGATGGTGGTGGTTCCTCGGTTGTGTATTTCAATGTTTTTCAATTTCTACATGTTTGCTATGACATTTGTTTGTTTCATTAGGGTGGATTTTTCCTCATTGAATCCCTAACTAAAGCTTGACTTTGACATGACTGTTTTCTTACCAACTACTATTTGGATTGGTGCATAGATTCAGTTCACAAATTAGGAATCTGCAAGATAGAATGAGTTTAGTTGTATTGAAGTATGTTCATTTCATTATTTGTCTATGTTGTTATTCGGTAAAAAACACAATTTTTTCCTTTAGGAGATATGAAGCTCTCTATAAAATATAAATTGTGTTTACATGCAGTTTAGTTTGCTGAAAATATTGCTTTAATAAATTAGTGACAACTGATAGTTCTGTTTGTGGTTGGTTTTGCTAGAACATTGCCAAGTTAAATTAATTGAGTATGTGGAAGATTGATGGATGTGGATGCTAATTTATTTTATCATTATTCCAGAATTGCATATGTAACTGATAATACACGATACGGGTGGGATCTAGATCGGAATATTCTTTATTATCATATACACACATATGAGAAGGGAAAGAAAATGAAAAGCTCTTCGCTTTATTCTTTTTATTAATGGAAGCATATTTTCTTATTCTAACTTCTTTGTTTGTGGCCTTAAATTTTTTAACTTCTTTATCACTTTTACTAGTTCAATACAAAATTCTAAATCAATAAAGAACGGTCTACAAAGAGTTCAATTAATACAAAATTTTCATAAATAAAAAGGTATAAAAGTACGAAATATTACCTAAAATAAGGTAAGTGAGATTTACAATTCCATGTATATTAGATCAACAAACATAAATAATAATATTTAGAATACTATAACGAATTATAAAATAACCAAATATAATGCACCGCCCAACGAGCGAGTAAAAAACTAGTTCATCTTAGACATATTCCACGATGTGTTTTCATTATAAAAGAAATGTGGTTCAATTAGACAGGAAAGATAACCTAATGGTAAAAGTGCCGCGACAGTGAAGGTTTGTGAGTTTCAGATCTCAGGTTCGAATCTAAGGGAGACTCGTTGGTGTTTACAGAAGTACAAGGTTGATGGGGGGAAGCCCCGTTGACGTCAAATTTGATTGCAGGTGGCCCCCAAGTTTAGTAGACTCCGTTGTTACAAAGTGGCATGTGAGACTGAGATTCCTGAGTAATAAAAAAAAATCTGTAATAGGTACTTTGTTTATTAAACAAATACCGTCTTTTAATTTGATTTGTTGATAGAATTTGTAGTAGACCCCACTGTCACACGGTAGGGTCCGGATAGAATAACAACAAGGACAAAAAGGTAAAACTAACCAAATATAACAAATTAAAATTAATAAATAAAATTTCAATCCCTACCTGTCTATCTCGATCTACTCCGATACCATTCCCCAGCGACCGCTTCTCCTCCCGTTCGATGTAGCCGTAGGAGCCGGCGACGGACGACATGCACTCGAAGCGCCGGCTTATTGCAGGACCTTGGCGAGTCTGAAATCGGCGACATGGATGAGGGCGTCGGAGAAGCCGTGGCCCTAGTGGTCGATGGCGCATACGAGGGAGCCGTGTTTGGCGAAGAGGATGGAGGTGAGCTGGAGACTCGCCGGTGAAGCCGTGGACGACGGCGATGAATCCGATTTTGTCGGCGGGAGGGAGCGGGGACCACCACTAGGTGAAGAGCTTGAAGCCGCGGGAGTTGGTCCGGTGCTCAGAGTGGTGGGAGACGTCGTGTTTGGCGTAGAATTCGGACGTGGTGAAATTGCAAAGGGCTCTGGTCGTTGGAGTCGGAAATCTGGTGCTGAACCATGGCGGCGGTGGTCTCCGTCATTGTGGAGGCGGAGCGGAGAAAAAGAGGAGGAAGTAAGAATTGAGTGAAATGGGGATGAGGCAGGCGAGAAGAATGTGGAGTGAGAGAAAGTGATGGATGGGCCAATTTGTGGGCTTTTTTCAGGTGGGTGAGAACGAGCGGTGGCAGTTGGCAGGGTTCCCAACTCGTTATTTGTAGAGAGTTACTATCCAAGGAGTGGAAGGACCTATACTGGGAATTCATTGACGTTTGGGACAAGATAGAGAAAGATGAACCTGATACTTATTCAGCAAAAGACTGTCTCAAAAGGATTGTAAAACTAGGCAGTGTTCTTCTGAGTGATCCATTGGCCTCTTTATTTGAGTTCTCTCTTACTCTGAGATCAGCATCACCGAGATTACAACTCTATCGACAATTAGCAGAGGAGTCTCTTGCTTCTTTCCCTCCGTCAGATGATGGAACAGAAGGAAACCTAATATCGAATCGAGGGAGAGAAACAGACCATATAGAATATGGAGTAGAAGATTTGGTGTTGGTTTGTTGCTGCTAGTTGCTGCTGCTTGATGAGTTGAATGGGAATGATAGTTGGTTGGTTCATTAGGCTCACTTAAGAGCTTACTAATTGGATTTGTAATGTGTTAGAAGAAATGGCCTTGCAGTAGATAACTCTGGATGCTGTGTTTTTCAGGTTTTATGTTTGTTCATATTTTTGTGTTTTTTAGGTTTTATGTTTGTTCATATTTTCGAGCTTTGCGTACATCAACAGGGTGCTGGTTTTTCTAAAGGTTTTGGTAATTGGTCCAGTGGTAATACCATTAAAACGCAGAGTAAACCACCCATTTCAATGACCTTCGATGAAAATCACAAAGTAGACCACAAATTTTTTTAACACACATCAGAAACCTGCTAATGCAAACCACAAACATAATAAAACAAACCACATAAAGCATACCAGAAACCTCGTAAACCAGACCGCATATTCTCTAAAACAAACCAGAAACCTCACAAAGCAAACCACGGAATTTTCAAAAACACACCAGAAACCTCATAATGCAAACCACAAAAACAAACCAGAAACGTCCTAATGCAGACCAAAAATCTATTAAAACAAACCAAACCACAAAATTTTCGAAAGCACACCAGAAACCTCGCAAAGTAAACCACAAAAAATTCGAAAACACACCAGAAACACAATAAAGCAAACCAGAATCCTCCTAATGCAGACCACAAATCTCCTAAAACAAACCACAAACCTCACAAAGCAAATCACAACATTTGCGAAAGCACACCAGAAACCTCCTAATGCAAACCACAAACACAGTAAATCAAACCACAAAAAAGCAAACCATAAACGTCCTAATGCAAACCACAAATATATTAAAACAAACCAGAAACCTCACAATGCAAACCACAAAGTTTTTGAAAGCAAACCAGAAACTTCTCAATGCAAACCACAAACACGATAAAGCAAACCAAAAAAGGCATAAAAAAATATGAGAAACCAAACCATAAATCTCACAATGCTAACCATAACATCCGGTGATCGTTGACCGGTCAACGAAGACCGTTGACCGGTCAACGGAGTTCGTTGACCGAACTCCAGTGACCGTTAGTGAGCAGATGCCGATGCTGATAGGCATATTCCGGCCCCGATGACTAGATTCCGACGCCGGTAAGCATATTCCGACACCGGTAAGCACATTCCGGCGACAAATAGCATATTCCGGCGACAAAAAGCATATTCCGGTGACATGCAACCAGTTTCCGGCGACCGGTGGCAGAATTCCGGCGACCAAATTTTTGGGCAGAAAATAATTTTTTATTTTTAGTTTTTATCATTTAAACAGATTTTTCATAATGACAATTATACCCCTGCTTTGATTTTACACTAGGTCAACTCATCTAATAAAAAGTCATCATAATCCTAGCTTCCTATTGGTTGGAGACTAGTGTTGTTACAATAACAACAAATATGGTGTTGTCACCATATCCACTCCCCACGCGGTAACACAAAGAGCATCAATTTTTTTTTTATTTAATTATTTTCCCCTTTCTCTGAAAATTCTTCTTCCCATTACTACTTTTCTATTTCCCCCTTTCTCTCAGGAAATTCTTCTTCCCATTACTACTTTTCTATTCCAAAATATTATGATGTTTTTTTTCCCCGAACGTTTTCCTTTAATTAATGCTCAAATTCGATGTATCTGTTGCACCATCAAATCTCGAATACGAGTGACAATCCCGATTCCCGAAACATTAATTAATGGATTCGGATCCAAACCAGAGTAACCGAAATAGACATGTAGCAAGATAGAGGGTATAAATTGTTGAATGGTCATGATCACTTTTCAATGTTCTAGAAGCATCCCAAAAGACATACACAGAAAGTATCAGCTCCGTTGAATTGTCGATGTGCAAGTGCAACCCCACAAATGTTTCTAACCGCTACTACAAGTCTACAACATGGGAGGTTCTTGGTGGTTGAGTAAGCAATGGGGAAAGGGAAAGCCCGGAATTAGAATTAGAATGAGCAAGACTAAAATACAAGAATTGCAATACTTTTAAAATTGAGAATTTAGGTGTTGTAGTCATTACTCTAATCAAATGGTTGATTTCACCTTATTTTTCAATATATTTATTCATGAATATAATTATAATCTCCAAAGAAAATATATTTCTATAATTCTAGAAAATTTATAAATTCTATTTATTATACTTTTGTTTCGTATAGAAAATATTAAAAAATCAAAATTTTAAATATTGATTTTCTAATTAAACAAAATAACTTTCTTTGAAGCTTTACGTTAATTTGATAAAGTACTAAATGTATTGTCTTTGCTAGTGAATAAATGGCTCTCAATCTTAAGGGGTTGGCCTAGGTACAATCTGAGTTAATGTGAGAATGTGAGGATGAGAATACCCATTACACTATGAGTTTGAACTTTAGGTACAACAACCAATGAAAAAATAATGATATGCTCTAGATTAATTGTACTGCATATTATTGTTTTGGAAGGCTTATATTTAGGGGTATGCCAATTATGACATGCATCTCACGGTGACATGAACTTTTCGGTCGACCTATTGCTGAAGGCGGTCGACCGAATCGACTAATTTGGGCAGCACGAGAAAGCATTGCGGTCGACCTCAACGACAACCTGGTCGACCGCACTTAGTTTAAGTTGATATTTTTGGTCGACCAGAATAAAACCTGGGTCGGCCATTTCGTTGGCGTTAGAAACAACATGGTTGACCACCTAAGGTATATAGGTCGACCACTTGATTGCAGTCATTAACAAAATGGTCGACCGGATGATGAAAGAGGTCGACCAGATAGAAGATAAGTGTTCTATCAAAGTGTCCAATTAATTGACGTAAAATCAAGATCAAGTGTTGGTTTCGCGGTCGACCTAATCCGTTACGAGGTCGACCGAATACAAGAAAGTCACCCTATGCCCCGTGTCTTTTTTGCTTATGTATGTCGATTTGTGTGGTTCTTTTAATCATATAAATTATGTTTCAAACCATCATAATTAGTCATAATTATAACAAGGACTCATCAATTCATAGCATAACAACTAAAAATAAAACAGAAATCATAATTGTTCACACATAAAAATAAAACTAAAAAAACAACAGAATAACACTCAACAATCGTTTTGACCACTAAAACACACAATATAAAAACTCATTTCTCCTACTCATCTCCCCCCTCTCTCTCATCCACATTTTCTTCATTGGTGGTGCTAGCATGATGGTAGTCGGATGTGGTGGGATGCATGTATCTTCCGCTGAAAGATCGCCACTCATCTCGCATCTCATTCACGGTCACCTGCATTGTGCTCATCTGGGCGGTCATTTGCCTCATGTAGTCGTGCATGCCAGTCATCTGGGTGGACATCTGGCCCATGTACTCGTACATGCCATCCATGCGCTCCCACACATGCTGTAAGGTGATCGGTGGAGTTGAACTCTGTGCCTCCCCCATTGGCTCGTCTCGAGCTCCTTCATCACCCTCATCATCATCATCATCATCATCATCACCACCATGAGCATTGTTTACTCTGACATACTCACCCTTACGCAGCTCAAAGCCCATCTTTTTCAGAGATGAAACAGTATAGAACTCCTGCCTTGAGATTCTTAACCCCATCTCTTCACTTAAATTCACATTAAAATGCTCAAATAGCACAGTGAGGATCATCCCATAGGGAAGATTCCTGTTTGAACTCTCTGCAGCAGTAAGCATGTGGTTAAAGATTAAGTATGGCAAGTTCACCTTCTCGCTTAACAGTAGGTTGGTGAGGAGCTCCATGTCGAAGTAGGTGACTGTCTCCCGATGTCCACCCTTTGGCAGAATGTTGTAGGAAAGCATGTGGTGAAGAACTCTGGCTTGAACTGTCAGGTGGTTACTCGATGGCCTATTGCGCCCCTGAGCATCTTCCTCTTCATCAAGACCACATACCGTCTGGATTTGCTTGGCTCTCGTGAAATGCGTTTCATTCCAAGCACCGTAAGAATTGATTCTCTTCCCCTCGTTTGGAGCCTGAAGTACTTGCGCCAACACATTCTTGCTGATGCGCATCGCCACCCCATTCACATAGGATTTGAATGCGTGAATGGATCCATTTGTATTGCGCTCGTAGACGATGTTGTTGTAGAAGTACTGTACCAGTTTTGGGTAGTATGGTACATTGAGAGATATCACCTTCAGCCACTCTTGCTCGATGAAGGGTCCCAGAAACCCGTAATTCTAGAAATGAGAATACGCATCCGTCGTCAATGGCCTTCCCGGAGCCACCCTGCGGTTGTGCATTCTCTTCTCTTCATAGTTCTCACTTTGCTCCTTGGTCTGGAACAGATTGGGATTGAACTCTTCCCATTCCGAACTTGAGGCAGCAGCTTTTTGTGCCTTTCTTTTCTTTTTGCCGCCATACATCCTGCGATCAAACAAGCAAGAATACACGTTAGTCACATTTTCGAAATGAACAATACGCGGTCGACCACTCCATAAAGCGGTCGACCTCAGTTAGTTTAAAACGAGAATGGGTCGACCTCAGAAGAATCATAGGTCGACCTCAGTTAATTTAAAGTGGGAATGGGTCGACATACACGAATTTTTGCCTTCATCGGTCGACCTCAGAAGCATCATAGGTCGACCTCGGCTTAATTGAAACGAGTCTAAAATGGCCCAAATCCTCGTACCAATTGAGTGCAAAACAGATCCGGTCGACCTCATAATTAGAAGAGGTCGACCAGTGTTAGTTTCGCACAATTAATTCAAAGACAATTGCACAACTCAAACTTTTGCCTTCATCGGTCGACCTCAGAAGCATCATAGGTCGACCTCGGCTAAATTGAAACGAGTCTAAAATGGGCCAAATCCTCGTACCAATTGAGTGCAAAACAGATCCGGTCGACCTCAAAAAACATAAATCGACCTCGGAAAATTTAAATCGATTGAAAGCCAATTGTGCTTTCAAAAGCCGTGCAGTTCAGGACATTAGACCACCTTGTAATGCACTCGAAGACACAATCGTTTATGTCTTCGAGTGAATTGCAAGATGGCCTAATCTCCTGCACTGCGCGGCTTCTGAAAGTCACAATTGCCTTTCAATCGATTTAAATGGCCCGAGGTCGACCTCAATATCATCACAGGTCG